CTATCACTCCCCTAGGGTATGATTTTCCTATTGCTCCCCTAGGGTATGATGCCCCTATCACCCCCTAGGGTATGATTGTCTGACACACTCTAGGGTATGATTTCTCTGTCACCCCTAGGGTATGTTTTCTCTGTCACCGCTAGGGTATAATTTCTCTGTTGCCACCTAGGATATGATTTCTCTGTCACCCTCTCGGGTATGATTCTCCTATCACTCCCCTAGGGTATGATTCCCCTATCACTCCCCTAGGGTATGATTCTCCTATCGCTCCCCTAGGGTATGATTCTCCTATCACTCCCCTAGGGTATGATTCCCCTATCACTCCCCTAGGGTATGATTCTCCTATCACTCCCCTAGGGTATGATTCCCCTATCACTCCCCTAGGGTATGATTCTCCTATCGCTCCCCTAGGGTATGATGCCCCTATCACCCCCTAGGGTATGATTGTCTGACACACTCTAGGGTATGATTTCTCTGTAACCCCTAGGGTATGTTTTCTCTGTCACCACTAGGGTATAATTTCTCTGTTGCCACCTAGGATATGATTACTCTGTCACCCCTAGGGTATGTTTTCTCTGTCACCCCTAGGGTATGTTTTCTCTGTCACCCTTGGGTATGTTTTCTGTCACCCCCTAGGTTATAACAGATTGAACATCGAAAGAAGCAATACCATGACGTCACAGGGACATTCTGATATGACGTCATAATCAGCTCATGATGGGATAGGTCATGCGCTAATCGATATAAGGATAACAAACAGATTACAAATGATGAAAACTATTGTTTTTAAATATGGAATTGTTATGGTGGAAGACAAATAGTCATCCCCTACCTTGAGGGTGTAGCACAAAAATCTCTAACCCTCAGGGTGATTATTTGGTTGTCATCCCCTATCTTGAGGGTGTAACAGAGAACTCTCTAACCCTCAGGGCGATTATTTGGTTGTCATCCCTTACCTTGAGGGTGTAACAGAGAAATCTCTAACCCTCAGGGCGATTATTTGGTTGTCATCCCCTACCCCGAGGGTGTAACAGAGAAATCTCTAACCCTTAGGGTGATTATTTGGTTGTCATCCCCTACCTTGAGGGTGTAACAGAGAAATCTCTAACCCTCAGGATGATTATTTGGTTGTCATCCCCTACCCCGAGGGTGTAACAGAGAAATCTCTAACCCTCAGGGCGATTATTTGGTAGTCTTACCTTCTGAATAAATCACCCCTGGGGTTGGAGATTTCTCAGTCACACCCTCAAGGTAGGCAAAGATTCTATAAATCATATCCAGTCTCTCTGGACAGGGTAGGAAGATGCCAACACAGCAAGAATAATCAATGCTAGAAGGAATCCAATCTAATTAAAATTGTATCTTCACATCGCTCCCGTTTACTGATATGTCGCGTTGAAGATCTAACAACATCCCGTAGAGGGTCATGTTCAGGCGACGTTTGCAATTAACCAATCAGATGAGAGCTTACGCATTTCTGTAAGTGATGATGTAACGATTTCGGAACACACTTGCTATGATAAAAAAACCGAGAGGTGTCAAATGAGCATCGAAAATGGCGGCGCCCATGACACCACGCCGTGTTTATCTACAAGACAACGTTTGTACAATTTGTGGATTTTGCTTTGAAATAAGAGAGACTTCCTCTTCTGGTGATCTTGTCGTTTAAGGATTTTGGGCTACGAGGTGCTACAGGTCCTGCTTTCTGATTGGTTGAAAGAAAGAGTTATTTCGCATTTTGATTGGCTTGTTATAAATACGATAATGTATTCATGTTGACCTCTGACGTGACCCTCTATGGGATGTTGTTAGATCTTCAACGCGACATATCAGTAAACGGGAGCGATGTGAAGATATAATTTTAATTAGATTGGAAGGAATCACAAAGGTTGTTTTTGTGCAATATTTAAACTAAACACTGGCTTCAGGGTCATGGGTATAAGCAGACAAAAGACCTAAAGGGCTTGTTTCGCTCACCTGTTTCTTTATATTTTGAACTACAAAAGAGTTGTGGCTTCTGCTATTTTGAGACCAAGTAACATGTGTATGACAAAAACCCTCAAAATGCAGTCACTAGATAGTAAAGCCTTTATCTAAGTGATAAGTGTCATGATAAGTCCAGAAATAATGCCGCAATTGTGATGACATGGGTTACATTCGTGTACATCCCAGTTGAAATGCCTCCACATGGCGCAGAAATATTCCACGATAATCGAACACACTTGGACAGATCCATTGGCAGAGATAAAAAAAAATGCACAGATTCGGAGAATAAATAACAATATATCAAGAATAATATGTCCTTATTAATTAACTATAATTATTATTAATTAACTATAACTAATTAACTATAAATTAAGTCAATTATTAAACTGCTTTCATTATTCACAGTGACCTTGACTGTTGACTGGTAACTCTTATCAGAGCAAACATATCTGTGAAGTTTCATAACAATGTGTAAAGGAATTTATAAGTCAGTTAGAGAGATGATGAGTTGTATGACGATGAAGTTAAATATCAGTAAAAGTGACCTTGACCTAATATGCATGACTAATATTGCCATTATTCAAACTTGTACAAAATATTCCAAGGCAAAATGTTTGAAGTCTCGTGAAAATCAGTCAAGAAATAAACAACTTTGTGATGACAATGACTGTGATGGCGAAATCCTATTTTAGTAACAGTGACCTTGACCTTACAACATTTGGCCAAGAGAACCCTTTAAGCACCAAATTAAATCAAAGTCATTTAGACATTAAACTTTTTCCTATAGGACTCCATCCACTCGAGAAGGGTATTCTCTTTGCTGACTAACAGTACAGTACATTCCTTTTCCATTTCCAGGATTTTCCAGAACAATCACATTTAAAATCTATATGTACATGTGCTTGTATTGAAAATACATTTACCTGTGTAACCATATATTAATTCTATTGAGTCCTTCACTTGAGCCTGTTAAACCCTTCATTTATAATTATATACCACATTAATGGTTTTTACCTGTTCAATTTAGTTTAAATTCTTTTGATTATTTGGGGAGGGGGGGGCTGCACCCTTAATTATACAACAATAAGTCCCCTTGGACTTACAATGCACAAGTTCGAAATTCAATTGAAAATGCTTTCAGCCATTTTGGAAAACTACATAATAGTCTTTTCAAAGAATATCAAGGCTTATTTAATGAGTATGTACATGTAGCAGTATTTAAATATTTATATCGAATTTCCACCTATTTGGTCCTGTGTTCCTATTCTCAAGAAAGCCACACCATTTATTTATACGAAATTTCCTCCTCTTGTTCTTGGAATGATTCATGCCAAAATAAATTAAATACAAGAAATTGAATTTATTAGATATCTTGTTAATAGATTTACCAACAATGGGCAAACCCCCCTTCATATCTACAACTTTGAATTCCCTCAAGTCATGGATGCTCCATACCAAATCAGGCTAAAAACCATTCTAGCTCAATTTCATTACCCTGGGCTTCCAAATTTTTCAGAAGATTTTTTTTTTTTTTTTTTTTTTTACGTATTTGACACATGACCCCTGTGATATTGAAAGTAAGTCAAGGTCATTTCTTTGATGAAACGTTGTACTACACTGTCCCAGCTTGCTATAGTCCAACTATCATCACTCTGGCACTCTTCCTTTTTAGGAAGAAGTTGTTCATAAGATTTTTACACATTTGACCCCTGTGACCCTCAAAGTATGTCAAGGAAGAAACTTTATTCTACTCTATTCAAGCATGCTACTGATTAAATACCATCATCCAGGGCCTCCTTGTTATGCTGAAGATGTTGTTTAAAGGATTTAACATATTTGACCCCTGTGACCTTTGAAGTAGGTCATGGTCATTATTTAGGGAAACTTTGTAGCACTCCATCTCAGGTACCTACTGGCCATCTATCATAGGTCCGGTTATGCAGATGTATTTAATCATTCTTTAGCTCACCAGGCTCGAAGAGCAAAGTGAGCTTATGCCTTGGCGCGGCTTCCGTTGTCAAGAATTTACTTTAAACAACTTCATCTTAATACCAAATGGACCAGGGAGGACCAGGGTGATGATATTTGGCGAGTAGCATACTGGGATGAAGGGCTACCGAGTTAGTTCAAATGAATGACAATACCATAATCAAGGTCACAGGGGTCAAATATGTTAAAAAATGTTAACAATTTCTACTGAATAACCTAAATGCAAAGGGTAATATGTGACAAGTATGCTCAGATGAAGAGCTATCAAGTTTGTTCATGTAAATCACCTTGACATACTTTGAAGGTCACATTTGGTCAAATGTGTATAAATCTTTAAAAGTCAACTTCTCAATAAACAAAGGGTATAGGGTGGTGATATTTCGCAAGTTGCATCAGGAGATGAATGGCTATAAAGTTTGTTCAACTTAAAGTTCTTGTTTGACTTTCAAGGTCACAGGGGTCAAATGTGTTTAAATCTTTAAACAGGTTCTTTTGAATGATTATGAGTCAAGACACTGATAGTTTGTAGTTTTATTTTAGTCCACTTATTAGGTTACAAGTGTGAGATTAATATCGGGTGAGCGATGCAGGCCCTTTGGGCATCTTGTTTTTACATATTTGATGCCAGTGACCTTGAAAGCAGGTCACATAGGAGGACAGTGAGGACTACACTAAGGGTGTCGTTCCGTGGACCGCAGCCACTATGACAGCCTGTCCGCATCTGAGGAGTTGTCCGACCTCAGAGTGTGACCAAGATGGGCAGGATTTTTGAAGCACAGAAGGCCTGGTAAGTGGCAACTTACCCCCTCATGTCAACCGAACACCGACTTTGTCAGTGAGTGGAGACGATAAACCCTTCGACCAACCAACCAACAACCAACCAACCAACCAAGAAAGCAAGAAAGCAGGTCAGGCCCTTTGGCTTTATTAGCTCACCTTCATTTTTCACCAAATTCCAAACATGTCAGATATATATGATACATGAAGAACAGACAAAATATTGCAAATAGAGTCTTCATATATACCTCAATCGGACTAGGTTCCTGTCTGCAGTGTGGCCATACATTTTGATATTGCCTTGGTCCAGCTATCCTTTATACCACATTAATATAAGATATCATGGTTGTCTGAAACAGAAAACAAGTATGGGTCATAGCAGAGTGCTTGAGACACATATATGTGTAATGGTATATGATTAACTCATTTACCCCTGAAGTCACATTTGAACTCTTCCAAATCAAAGGTTGGAATAGTTGATTAAGAAATTTCAGGGTTGTATGAGTTAAAGGTTTGCATCCGAATCACTTCCTTGATATAACCAATCGACTTAAAATAAAAACTGATTATTATAACAATTATTAAACAAGGTATGTTGACCTAGCTATATTAACCCTTTCATCTCTATGTAGTTTTAATAAACTAATATACCATGAATTGGTCTGGATGAGTCCATTATGGTTAACAGAAGTGAAATGATTTGTATTATCTCTTTTGTTGACAAGGATATTAGCATGCATGACGTCTTTTATGGGAGGAAACTGGAGTACCTGAGAAAACCCATGTGGTCAAGCAGGTGACTCGACACCCTTTCACTTCTGATTTGGGAATCGAACCCAAGCTATCGTGATAAATGGCAAGTGTACTCTCCAAGGCGCCACCTGACCTTCCAATGGACTCAATCCCTAGGGGTGACACAGGACCCGAAGGCCACTTCTGGTAGCATGGACGAATTTGAGTCATCATCCACAAAGTTTAGTGTGGAAATCTAAAATATGACCCAGGGACTGAGTCCCCAGTGGTAGGGCAGGACCTCAAATCTATAACCCTGGTAACCTGGATGTACATGTACTTGTCTCTGCATGCTCACTAGGAGGGTATGAGGCTATATACTTACTATTGTACACTACTCACCTTTATCCTGATATATATCGATACCAAAATAAGATATAAATTAGGCTGTACTTAATGATATTATTTTAAACATTGGACACACATATATCCCATTTCTCCTACTGGGTCTTACCTCTCCACCTCCAGTAAAAAGCACTTACACTATTCATACAACAGATTTTAACAACCTCTAGGTAGGTAGGGCTATCAAATAAATAAAATCAAGACAAGTCTACAAGTGCTATGTCCCTAATAGTAAATCCCTCTAGGGGTATAAGTATATTCTATGTTTTAGATTTGAACAGAAATTAATCCTATTCTGTCTTCTATTCATGTTATTACAAGTCTGATATCAAAAGGAAAACAACACTGCATGCACATATCTTCACGCTAGCCTACAATTGTACATGCATGTTGTACCCCCAACATGCACTGACATAATTATCAAAATCGACAGCGCCATTAACTTACAAAGAAGAATGCAACAGGAAGACAATGAACATGGTTTAAATGACATCATGAAATAATAACATCAAAAGTTGTGACGCTGTAACAGGGATGATTCAGACTTACTTCCCCGGTTACTTGTGCATAATGTTTATCATGATTATTTCTGTCATTAGTGTGATGAAACATAATTATATCTAGATTGCATGCTTTGTAGAATATATCATTCATGTAATGAAATAAATGTATCAAATATTGTGATGATATAGAGAATGTAGAATAGGAAAGATATATCTAGATCTAATGGTAAATGATGCAAATTATCAATTCGCCATTAACTGAATATGCATTTTAGAATATAGTGAGTACGTTTGTAAATCAATGTTGGACAAAGTTCTAGCTTTGATCCTGAGGTGGACCCGAGGCCAACCAAATTGAACCGAGGTTGACAGTGGGATTTGGAAAGTGGCAGAGTCCAGTCCTGTTAAAACGCTATTCAATAGTTCCTCAATTTTGGACCAGTCAACATATTTTAGTTCATATAGCGATGACGCCGATTAAAAGCTGTGAGCTTCTTGTGGCGCGTTTGAATATATGTTAAAATACTTGTTAAAAACACTTTTCACTTCCGGTGCATATAGATAGTCCTTCTAATGTCAGGAATAACAACTTGCGCGGAATTTTGTTGGGTGATCTGATCCGACCAGAATGTATTCAGTCTGTTCTTAAAAGTGTCCACAGTTGGAGAATTGACCACATTATCGGGTAGACTGTTCCACACCTCTACAACTCTATTGATAAAGAAGTTACTATATATGGCCTTATTTGTTCTCATATTGAACAGCTCTCTGCTATTTCCTCGTGTTCCAACGGGGCGCGCTCTTATAAACATTTTGTCCTGATCTACAATGTCAATTTCCTCCATAATAAATTTTGAATAATCCGCTCTTATACGTCTGTATTCTAGCGTTGGAAGCCCTAACTGTCTTGGTTTAAGTTGTAATGAAAATCTCATTGAATGAAATCTCAAGGGAATTACAACAGGAACTTAGTGATTGATTGAGTTTACTGTAAGAATAAGTACTAATTCTTCATCTAGCCTTGCTCAAGTCCGAGATTTTCTTTTCAAATGGCAGAGGTCATACGGGGAAAGGGGAGATAAGGGAGGGGATGACTTTAAAACATCTATACACCATGCTGGATTGATGAAAAATAATGTCGATATCATACTGCTAAGCGCATAAAAAGTGATGAAACAGTCACATCAGTCTAGTAAAGGGCCTAACGTTCGACAATCATCAATATTCTACTTTCGATTTCTATATATTCACTATAACCACGGACTTAGATAACTAATCTAATTCAGTGCTATAATAAAATGTCACTTTCCGTGGTTAATGTGGAATAAACGTCTGCTTAGAGAAGTAAGTGTTTTTCGTCTTGCCGTAATGTTTTGGAACATTAGAGTGTGTAACGGTAATCACGTCAGTCTTATAAATAGAACGATAGCTATAGGTCACCATTATGCCTGTTCAGCCACGGACTAATCTAATTTCAGCCAATATAACGGCCCGTATAAATAAATACCTGTAAACAAACAGTTACAGAGAAATCAAGAACAAGAAACAAGACAGACGATATACATGTTTCAGTCTACTGGTGTTTTCTTACCGTACCCTTGTTATTGACTCCAGTCTCAGTCCAGTTGTTGAGAAATTCAAGCTGATTGTAAAACACGGAGCTGTGATTTCCGGAGGCATGTAAGTTTCCGGGGGATACAATTTGCATGCAGAATGCTACATATTGGTTATGGTGCATTTTATCAGAGTTGTGGTGTTTTCTTTATGGAGTTGCTATTGAAAAAAATCACGATATCTAGGTGAGTGATAGCTTTGCCCCGACCCCCCCCC